CTGGATTCGCCATGTACCGACTAACCACTCCCACTGCTTGTGCAATGTCTGATCTTATGCATATCATAGTGAACATAAAACTTCCCACTGCTGATGCATACGGTACTCGAGACATCTCCATCCTCTCTTCTTCACTGCTAGGACTCATACTGGAGGATAATTTGAAGTTAATAGGAAGAGGGGTAGAAATTGGCTTACAATCTTGCATGCTAAATCGTGACAAGATTTTCTTCAAGTAATTCTTTTGTGAAAGCCAAATCTTCCTATTACTTCTGTCTCGGTGAATTTGCATCCCTAGAATCTTGTTTTCTGATCCCAAGTCCTTCATTTCAAATTCCCTAGCCAGTTGTGCCTTCAATTCTTCAATATGATCTTTGTTGGGTCCTACAACCAACATGTCATCTACATACAACAGCAATATAACAAAATCGTTATCACCAGACCTCTTGAAATAAGCACAAGGGTCTGCATTAAGTCTGTTATATCCAAGGCACATAATGAAGGAATCAAATCTCTTATACCAATACCTCGGCGCTTGCTTTAGACCGTACAGAGATTTGTTCAACCTGCAAACCAAGTTCTTCTTTTCTTCTTCTTCAAAACCTTCAGGCTGGAGCATATAAATCTCTTCTTCAAGATTTCCATGAAGAAAAGTTGTTTTAGCATCTAGCTGCTCTAGATGTAAGTTCAATGTAGCATACATTGTCAAAACTACATGAACTGTTGTTAGTTGAACCACAGGAGAAAATATTTCATTGAAATCAATACCTTCTTTTTGAGCATATCCTTTGACCACCAGTCTTGCACAATACCTCTCAACTTGATCGTCACCATTTTGCTTGATTTTGAAGACCCATTTGTTACCAATTGGCTTCCTTCCTTGTGGTAGTGGCACAAGGTCCCATGTATTATTTTTATGAAGGGCTTCAATTTCTTCTTGCATCGCCATCATCCACAGTGAAGCATCTGAGTTGTTTATTGCCTCCTGGTATTTTGATGGCTCACCGTCCTCTATTAAAAGGCAGTATGTAATATTACCTTCTATAACATAATCTGAGTGCTAATTGGGATGTCTTCTCACACGATCTGATTGACGAGTTGTTGGAGCTTCAGAACTCTCTGGTTCTTGTTCATCATGTGCTGGTTCTACTTCAGAAGATTCTCCTTGTTCAAACTCTTTTTTCACATGTATCTGTATAGTCTCTGACTTTTTAGTGCTATCATTGTCTTCTTTTCTTTGTAGTTTATCCTCTACAAAGATAACATCCCTGCTGATGATCACTTTGCGGGCAGTGGGATCCCACAAGCGATACCCCTTGACTCCATCAGCATACCCCAAGAATTTGTATTTCCTGGATTTTGGATCCAGCTTTGAGATTTCTTGGGAGTTATACATCACGTACACAATACTTCCAAATATATGGAGGTTTGAATAATCAGCTGGTTTACCAGTCCACATCTCCATTGGTGTCTTCAGCTCTATTACAGTTGATGGAGCTCGATTCACCAAATAACAAGCGGTATTGACTGCTTCTGCCCAGAATGATTTTTCTAGGCCTACATCCCTCAACATTGCTCTTGTTCTTTCTAACAAGGTTCTGTTCATCCGCTCTGCCACTCCATTTTGTTGAGGAGTGTTTGCCACTGTGAACTGTCTTTTGATGCCTTCTTTCCTGCAAAAGTCATCAAATTCTTCGCTTGTGTATTTTCCTCCATTATCTGTTCTGAAACACTTGATCTTATTTCCAGAATTAAGTTCCACCCGTTCTTTGAAGATTTTGAAAGTTGAAAACACATCTGACTTCTTCTTAATAGGATACGCCCAACATCTCGTAGAGTAGTCATCAATAAATGAGACAAAATATTTTGCTCCACCTAGGGATGTAACTGGTGCTTGCCATACGTCAGAATGAACCAATTCTAGAACAGTTTTGCCTCTAGAATTTGACGTGTTAAATTTCAACCGGTGCTGCTTACTTGTTATGCAATGCTCACACAAGGTAAGTGATACATTTGTTAAGCCTGGAAGTAGGTTTTGCTCCACAAGAACTTTCATTCCTTGTTTTGACATGTGTCCAAGTTTCTGATGCCATAGCATTGCAGAATTTGAACTACATGAGGCAACAGAGGCTTCTGCTTCTAGCAAAGTCTCTCTCTTCAGCATGTACAAGTTTGCAGTTATCTTTTCGTCTTTCAGCACCACAAGCGCTCCACGGAACACCTTCATAATTCCTTTATGTGTTTCAATCTTGCTTGCATTATTATCCAACAATCTGTAGGATAATAAATTTTTCTTCAGGCCTTTCACGTGCCGCACATCTCGAACAACTTTAATTGTTCCATCATACATCTTCAATTTGATGGTTCCCACGCCAATGATCTCTAAGGAATGATCATTGCAACTATACACAGATCCTCCTGAGACAGGTTCATACTGATGGAATCATTCTCTTCTTGAGGTCATGTGATATGTTGCTCCTGAATCAATGAGCCATATATCTGCAAATCTTTTTCTTCCTTCCACGGTGGTTGACGCTTCACAGCATAGTGCATCTCCATCATCTGAAGTGTTTGCGGTATTGCCTTGTGAATTGGAGTTTTTATTTAGACTCCAACAATCCTTCTTCAAGTGACCCTTCTTTCCACAGTTGTAGCAGTTTAAATTCTTCTTGCTCCTCGACTTTGATCTACCATGTTTGTGACTGCTGCTTTGGCCACGTTCTGTTGATCTCCCTCTCGTCGTTGTCAACGCTTCTGCTTGTTGCAGATTTACTTGTCTGTCTTTCTTGTTCTTGCGTCAATTTTCTTCTTGTAGAACAGCAGCTGCAACGTCATCGAAGACTAGACTGGTGACATTATTGTTTGTCAAGTTTATGATGAGTTGATCATACGAATCCGGTAGACTTTGAAATAGAAGTTCAGCACGTTCTTGTTCTACTATTTTACAGCTTAAGGATGTAAGCTGAGAAAATAAAGTGTTCAGTGTGTTTAAGTGCTCCGTCACTGAAGTAGATTCTGACATCCGAAGAGTGTATAATTTCCTCTTAAGGAAAATTTTATTGTGCAACGATGTGGCCTCGTACAATTTGGTGAGATATCCCATATCTCCTTAGCTGTCTTCTTCTCCTCGATGCTTGACAATACCTTCATCTGCTAATGCTATATGAAAGTTTGCCATAGCATTTCCGTTCATCTCGTTCCATTTGTTGTCATCTGCGAAATCCATCGGCCTTTCATTGATAGCCGCTAGACACCCGTATTTCCTCAGGATGGCCTTCATCTTCAATTTCCACAGTGAGAAATTTCTCCCATTGAATTTTTCAATATTAAATTTTGTTGTCATAGCTTCTATTATTGATAGCTCCCACTATTTCACTATCGTGAATAGTTCTCTAGAACCTCAAAAAATGGGTAATACCTTCTTATTTTCTTATGTTGGAGGATCCACCTTTTAGTGGCAACCACAAAGACAATAAGCAGATATTACACACTCAAATCTGGCTCTGATACCAATTGTTGCGGAAGACGGCTATCGGATAGAGCAAAATTGCAACTGATAATTTGAGAAAATAAAAATGAAGATAAAAAGAGACACAAAATTTACGTGAAAAACCCCTAAATAAAATAGGGTAAAAACCACGGGCAACGGTAGAAGAATTTCACTATGAGAAAATAGGAATTACAACCTCTCTCGATCTACCAAGGAGAAAACAATGATAATTCTCTCTCGATAAAAAGGAGAAAACAACTCTCTCGAAACTCTCTAAATTCTCTCTAGTATTGGAAGAAAGCTAGAATGCTTTGAGATGATTTTGAAGCTAAATGAGTTAGGGTATTTATAGTTGAAGCTTTAAGGACTAATTTGTAAATACCCTAAATTACAATGACTAATTACATAGTTTTACCATCCCAAAATTTTCAACAATTTGGTGGCCAAATTTGACCAATTTTACCACCCATTAATGCCACCAAATTGCCACCCATAATGTTGACTAATGATGCAATTTGGTGTGCTAATTTTCAACAGAGTATTGTATATCATTTTAGTTTACTAATCAATATTTCATTTCATATGTGGAAAAGGGAGCATTTAATTCATTTCCTCTCGGTTTCCCTTTGCTGCTAATTCTTTTGACATTTCTTTTCTACTGCATTATAGGAATATGAATATATATATATCCGACATGGTTATGTTTAAGGTTAAAAATGCATGTATTTGATATATGAATGATGTTGGATTCTTGACAGTGGAGTATAGTAAGTAAAGAGTCGGCTTAGTCATTACATGTATTTAATATTATGGGGGTTGATTTGAAAGATTACTTGCATATCTTTTCTTTAAATCTTTTGAGAGTAATTAATTATTTATAACAATAATATTAAATATAGAAGTTGATAATTTTATATTAAAATAATTTATAAATGATCATTAAAATCGTTTTAAAAAAACGTACAAGTTGCAGAGTTGGATTAGACCACGTGGGAAGCAGTGATGGGATAAGGTGGCTAAGTAGTCACCATCCCAGAAAGCGTCACAGATCGGAGGAATGAATCAGCAGCTTTTTGTCAGCACTCACAAGCAAAACCAGGTGCGTGAATCACTCGTGGTGCACATTAGAGTGGTTGGCAATTAAAAACAGGATAAGAACACTCCTGTTTTCTTAGCTTTCGTATTTCCTTGAAATAAATAAAACCCGACAAACCATGATAAGCATTAGCCACCAGTACCTCTCCATATAAAAATCAAAGCTTTGAGCTTTGACCAAACTACCTTTTTATCATTGAGTTATCCCCACATCATCACCCGTACACGTGTCCCGACAGTCTTACAGGAGAAGAAAGTTAACGGTAGGATCGGACGGTGTTTGTTGATCGAACCCTTTGGAATTATTGTTGAAAAGCAACCCTCTTTGTCCCTTGTTCTTTTATGTCAAAACTGGTTGATGATCCACGTAAGTTTGTCAGCTTTGCTGAACCTATAGCAATAGAAAGGGTTATCGGAAAGAGTGAGTCAGTGAACGAGTGAAGTTTATTTTTTGAGCTTTTTGTTGAAGATATGGCCATGGCGAGTGTGAAATTGGGGAGACAAAGTAGCATACAAGATAGTCCGAGGAGTCCCGAAGCAAAGCTTGGGATGCAAGTGGAGGATCTATGGGATGTTCAGGAGCCTGAGCTTAGTCCTAATGACAAACTCAACGCTTGCTTTGAAAGCATCCCTGTTTCTGCTTTCCCTATTGCTCCTCAAGGTATTGATCCTTTTGATCATTCACTCTTTGTTTTAGATTATGCTTTGATTGATCAAGAATTTTGGGGTTTCTATTTTTTTTTCCTGGCTGGTGGATTTGTGCTATAAAGATGAAGAATTTGGTTGATTAACTATATGTTTTGAGGTCATCAATCTAGAAAATAGTATATTCGTGCTTAGGATTTTTTACACCTGGAACAATTTGTGTTGTGTTTATATTACACGGTTGACATGGGGAAAAACATGAGACAAGACATTCTTTACATGGATTGTCTGGTCTAGTTCATTCTTGGAGTGCCAACCATTTGAATAAGTTGGTCTAGCTTTTGTGATTGTGATACATATATGATGGTCATATCTTTGTAATGTTTGTGTTTCCAGGGATTGAGATAAAATCGGATGCGAGTCTGGCTGATGCCGTTCAAATACTGGCCCAAAACAAGATACTCAGCGCACCCGTTGTCGATGTTGATGCTCCGGAAGATGCAACGTGGATGGACAGATACATTGGCATTGTAGAGTTTGCAGGAATTGCTGTATGGATTTTGCAACAGGTCAGAAAACAGAACCGCATATAATGAACTCTTTTCTCTATAAGTCTTTCATTTGGGAACCTAACAGTTTTTTTTCCTTTTACAGTCAGAACCATCTTCGCCTAGAAGTCCATCGTCTCCGAGTGGAGCTGAGTCTGCTTTAGCTGCTAATGGAATGGCCTCTGCTGCAGGACTTGAGGCTTTAGGCCCTGAAAGTGCTTCAATTACTTCTGGAGACTTTTTTGAGGCGCTAACGTCATCTGAGTTCTATAAAAACACCAAGGTGGTACTTCTAATCTCTATATCACAAAAAAAAAAACATCTGGTCATCTCGAATTCTTTCAGTTTTGTAGTTGTTCTTACTATCGTGTTAACTTGTGAGAGCATACAGGTTCGTGATATCTCCGGGTCGTTCCGCTGGGCACCATTCCTTGCTTTGCAGAATACGAACACCTTTTTGACCATGTTGTTACTACTTTCGAAGTACAAAATGAAGAGTGTTCCTGTGCTTGATCTGGGGGATGGAAAGATAGATAACATCATAACACAGTCGGCTGTCATTCACATGTTAGCGGAATGCACTGGACTTCACTGGTTTGAAAGCTGGGGAAGTAAGAAGCTTTCGGAGATCGGTCTTCCCACAATGTCCACCAAGGAAATTATCACAGTGAGTGACTGTTATCCGCAGGTTTTCATTTCTAATGATTCCAGGCTTTTCATGGCCATTGCCATTATTCGTATGAATATCGCACACACGAGTCCTGAGTGTCCCGATGGCCGCTGTGCCCTCTCGGTCATACGTCTTTAAACATTTACGAATTATCATTTACAACCCACGTCACCAAAGAGCATCAAGTTAAAAGATTTGTATAAGTTGTATGAAGCTCTAAATACGAGTCTTTAGTAAATCTCTCTAAGGATGCAGTCCTCTATGGTGCTTTATGCAACTTAACTACTGAAAATTTTGTTTGTGTCAACATCCTTTGGACAAAGTTTGGTATTTCATCCTTGAGCGGTTCGATTTTACGAGGTCAGACCTGACTTGATTATCATTTAGATATGTTCTAATATCGTTCTCTTTCTCCTTTTGATCGTCTCTAACTATATCACAAGTACTGGTTCGGTACCTGAGGATCTGTATTTTACAAGTATTGAGGGTTAAGTAATGACTGACCACGACACGAGTACATGTTTAAGGCTTCGGTTTCTCGATTCCTTTGTGTTTTTCCAGTCTTTATGTCTTTGCATTTCTACCATTTTAAACCTATTCAATCAAGATGTTAATGAATTGCAATTCGTACTATAGGTATACGAAGATGAACCAGTGCTTCAGGCCTTTAAGTTGATGAGGAAAAAGAGAATCGGAGGCATACCGGTCATTGAACGCGGAGGGGGAAAAGCTATAGGTAACATAAGCCTTCGAGATGTACAGTTCCTTTTAACCGCAGCTGATATCTACCGTGATTACAGGTTCGTAGTGGATTATGCTAAACTTGTGTATCACATTAGATATGAACGCCTATAAAGTGTTCTGAGTTGAAGCCCTTTTGATGCATAGGTCAATAACGGCCAAGAACTTCCTAATAGCGGTTCGGAACTACTTGGAGAAACACGAGAAGAGATCGCCTATGTTGAGTGGGATGATAACTTGCAAGAGAGATGAAACAGTGAAGGACTTGATTCAGAAGCTCGACTCGGAGAAGATCCAGAGAGTGTACGTCGTGGACGATGACGGGAACTTGGAAGGAGTAATCACGCTGAGAGACATCATTTCGAGGCTGGTACACGAACCACGCGGATACTTCGGTGATTTCTTCGACGGTGTGTTGCCTTTACCTGAAAACAGCAGGGTCTAGAAGAGTAACAAAGACAGGTTTAAGGCTTTTTCTTATGAAATTTGCCCGTGTGTTTTGGGGATGCAGATGGTAACATAGGTGAGCCTTTGTAGTTAATTTTCTTCCAGCTTCTGTAAATTTTTGGTGTATTCGAGAACTCGATTTGGATGTGCTGTGTTGCAATCTAATAAGCGGAGCCATCTTCTTGGAATCAATATATAAACACATATTTGATACAAACGAGTCTTAAACTCGAGGCATGTAAACGAACCGAACGTTTAGTGAACCGTTCGGTGGGAAGTTTGTTCAATTGTATTTTGATAAAAATAAAATGTTTTATTAAAATCATCCGATTTTTACGGTGTTTCAATCTCATCTTAAATGATTGGTGACGACTCCTCATATTTTGAAACATTTTTCAAAGAAAAAACTCTTAAGTCGGTATCGGTGTTTTTCCTGTCCGAGCGAAAAACGGTATGACAGCCACGTTCCGGGTTAACCAGATATTATACAAAATCACTCCAAAGAGAATATCCCAATCTTTTGTTTGTGTTATAAGATCCACGAGACTGGTAAGATTCATTGCAATCCAATCCTTCGTGGTCATCTGAAAAAATTCATTCATACAATCACGTTTCACCAACCCATCCACATCCCACTACCCGAAGGACAAGTTCGCAGCACATGGTCAATAGTGGATTCTAATTATGACTAGATAAAATTATAGTTAAATTTGAAATTAAATAGGATTCCAATTAATTTAGTTTTGATTAAGTGAGAATATAATTTAACATTTTAATAAAAATATATAATTATTTTTTTCTCTTGGCATTGGGAGTTAGGGGTGTTCATTTTTTTAGTTTTAACCGATCGAACCGAATTAGTTCGGTTAATTTGTTCGGCCACCGAATTAGTTCGGTTAAAGAACAATTAATAATTTTTTTAGAATTCGGTTAACGGTTAATTCGGTTAGAAATCGGTTAATTAATCGAATTAACCGAAATTAAATTTTAAATATATTATATATAACATATGAGTTCAGCCCAAACCATTTAAAACTCAATTAATAATTTAAGATTCAAAAACTTTTAAACCTAAATCAATATTAATTAATTAAAAAACCCATATAAAATTTTTATTTTATAATTATATATTATTTAAACTAATTGTAAACTATTTTTTTGAATTAAAAATATTCAATTTTTATATAAATTAGAAATTTTAAAAAATTCTGTTAATTCAAAAATTAACCGAATTAACCGAAATTTATTCGGTTCGGTTAATATTTAAAAAAAAAGCTCGATTTGATTAACGATTAAATAAAAAAAATCAATTAATTCAATTTAGTCGGCTACCGTTTTAACCGAATGAATACACCTATGGGGGGCATGGTCTGGGTAGGTCGAGGCCTCCCTCTACTGATGGTCTAGATCTTTCACTGGTGTCGTATAAAACAAGTATTATATTATAATTAAGTATCTATATTATATTATTTTTATTTTAATACCTAAATGTTTTTTTATCGAAGGATATATATAAAATTATAATTTTAATTAAAATAAATTAATATATAAAATACTTTTAGTTAAAACAAAAATTTAAAAATTGACCCTCGTTGATGGCGTGGAAATAAGAAAGTATTATGTTAATATTATTATTTTTAGGATGAATAATCAAATTAGAAATAAAATATAAATTTAAAAAATAATAATTAAATAAATAAAATAGTATGTAATGACTAAATAGAGAATTTAGCTTTTTTGTTATTGAAACTATAACATAAAAAACCCGTATTCTTTTAAACCGTTTGGGACAAGGGAGAACATCGCGGAAGGTTTGAATATTTAAATTGAGTGAGGAGGAGTACGATACGCAATGGCGCCGCACGATCTTCGCCGTCCGTTCAAGCGAGCGGCGATATCAGACCAGCAGAAGCGTAGAGAGCTCTCGCTGCTCCGTCAAGCGCAGAATCGTCGCAACGCTCAACATCAAGCTCGCTGCTTGGCCTCATCTATTCTCTCGCTCCAGTCTTCAGCACCCGAATCCGAACCCGAGCAGTCCGACATCGAAATCGAAACCGTACCCGAAACCGAGCATGAATCCGAAGCTTTTTCGAAAGACCCTGATGTCCGTCGAGCTTCTACACTTCGAGGACCTGAGGCTCGAAAATGGTTCGCGAAACAGCTTATGCTCCCTGAGTGGATGATCGACGTCCCTGATCGCTTGAGCCAAGACTGGTAATTAGGGATTTAAAAATATAATTTCTATTCGTTCGTTGTATTAATTAGGGATTTGTGAATCATTTTAATTTGCTTCTGAAGTAAAGTTCCGATTTTATTATCTTCTTTAAAGGTATGTACTTGCAAGGCCAGCTGGAAAGAGATGCTTCGTGGTTTCATCAAACGGAACGACTGTCAGCAGACAACGGAACGGCTCCATTTTGCATTATTTCCCGTCGGCTTTACCAGCTGGAGCCAAGACCAGAGATGGCTCGGGCTCAGCTCAATCATACTGTATCCTGGATTGTATTTTCCACGAGGTATAAAAATCCCAAGACATAGAAGATCAAAATCATGTAATTGCTGGTATATTGTTTGATTTTGATTCTGTTGAAGGGTGATTCTTTTTGCAGTCGGATCAGACTTATTATGTGATTGATACGGTTTGTTGGAATGGATACTCTCTTTATGATTGCACTGCTGAGTTTAGATTCTATTGGTTGAACTCGAAGCTTGAAGAGAGCGGTGCTTGCAATGCGCCTTCGCATTACCATAAATTTAGATTCAGTGCTGTTCCAGTGTATAACTGTGATCAGAGTGGGCTATATGCAGCATACACTGGAGCTGTGCCTTATGTTAAGGATGGATTACTATTTTATAACAAGTGAGTTCTTTTCCTAAAAAATATTACTCTGTTTTCATTATCATTTTTCCATTGCTTAAGTTGAATAGGATTTTCTTGAATAAGATTTACTCTGTAGTGAGTGTCATGTCTTTGCTTTTTTGTGCATGGATGACGGGCATTGCTTTCATTTTAATTCTCTTGGGATTTAAGGAATAGGTATAATACTACCATTTGGTATATGGTGTAAACTGTGGGTACTTTGTTATTTCTATTATTAATGTTCAGAAGCTATTTTCATTGGCAATCCAAACCTCGTCTCTCTATCACTTCCTGACTGCTGCTGGTTAAACAATTAGATGAGAGTTCAGGAGTAAAGTCTTTATCCTACTTTAATGGTTTTGTCCAGTAAAATGAGTTATAAAATTGGACTTTCTCCCTTGTTAAGTAAGATGCTGTTCCTATTTACTAGGTGAAGTTGCTTATATTATTTAAAGAAGTCTTCGGATATCATAGATGAAGCTTTTTCTTTGTCCATCGCCTGGAAGATGGACATTCATTGCTTCTTTCTTGTTCTTCCTGTTCGTAAATTCTGTATTATCGTTAGGATCTCTTAACATCTCTTCATAGCAGATTTTGTCTCTCCTGTTTATGTATTTTAACCAGGGAGTTTTATTTTATTTCATTCACAGGCATGCACACTATCAAACTGGCAACACACCACTAGTATTAGTCTGGAAAGATGAGAATTGTAGTCAATATGTTATTGACACAGATGGTAAAGGAGAGATTCCAAGCCAACAACAGGTATCTTGATATGTTATCCATTATTCATCTATGCTTCCTATGCCCTTGCCTCTTCTTTATGAACCCTTCAAACAAATTAGGGCGTGCTTCTTTCTCATTGCCATACTGAAGAGCAACAATTAGTGTCATTAATTTGTGTGAGTTATTGTGTATAAGCTGCAGTTTTAACATAGATAGTTTGCTCTTATGATCATATATCCGTGCATGCTGATAACAGGCAAAAAATCGTGTTCTGTCTGATGGCTTGGTTCAGACCATTACTCTTTCTAGAATGACATTTTGCTATGGAATTCAAAAACAAAGCTCACTAAAGCACATAATAACATTTGCGTTGCGCTCTTGGACTAAATTGGAGAAGATACCTTAGAGAGAAAAATATGATCATTGTGTTTAAGACGAATAATAAAAAACTAGCATCTCACTTTTATTAAACCTATACATATGAAGTAAAGTATAATCAAATGTTATTTCCTCTGTTGTCAGTTAGTTTTGGAGCTACAAGATGATAGAAAACTGGTAACATCAGATGACCCTCCTGTGTTGTTTGGCTGCTTAGATGGGGATATCATAGAAAAGGTATGTTCATAAATACCCATACTAAGCCAAATGCATAATGCGATAATTGTTTCCAACTAATGACAATGATTTGTTCATCAATAATTGGCCATTGTTATTTTGTTCGTCAAACTATGATATATCAACGTGGTTAGCTGTTGCTTCAATTTGTTGTGCGGTCACTGGGATTTGAGCTAGTCAAAATAAGGTAGCTTCTTACCATCCTGTAATTCCCTGCTCCCCTCCCCAAAATTTAAATCCTGACCCGAGCCATAAGCTTCTAGTTGTCTCAGTTGGCAGCCCCTTTGAGATGGTGTTGTCTATTTAATTGATGCAAAAACAAATTGTAGAACTTTAAGCATCCTTCCTCTCCTACCTTGCTTTTAACAGTCCACGTGTCTAACATTTAATTTTTCTCTCTTCCAAATGCACAGTCTGGGATACAATCAGGGAACCTTTTACGGTTTGCTATTGGTGATGGAGGATTGAGTTTTGTGGATGGGAAGCTGGAGAAGGCTGATTTGGTTTATCTTGGCAAGTCCAACCGAGCACGTGTTTTTGCAGATAGTTACTCAAAGGTTGGTGGAAAGCATGCATGATCTGATTTATAGCTCTATTATTGAAACTAAAATTCATCCCCAAATCATTTGGCGAAAACGTAAACGCCATATTTAGCTAATGTTTGAGACATTTTGTGTACTCTACCTATTTCTGACAAAGGTTTGGAGTAATTCATATCAGGATAGTTCTGTAAAACCCTTGTCTGCTGTAAATAAAAGTTAATAAAATTGGCCCCGCAATAATTATTATGATCATTCGGTGTTTGCACCGTCGCTGTCATATTTAGAATCTCATTTTGATTGGGGGAATCAGGGAATTCAATTCAAATCTTTGTAGCGAAGGTATAGATGCACTTACCATTGCATCAGTTGCTTCCTTGTTCAGACAGTATCAATCCCCAACCAAATTGTCTGTTTATTGCCTTATTTTCTTTCTTTTTGGCTGCATTTATTCGAAGATCTGTTGATTCTCAATAGAGACGATGACAAATCAATCATGTCATCCATGCTTGCCTTTCTGTGTTTTTCGCTTTAAGCGATCACTGCTTCTCATTGTGTTGTCTGCCTATCAAAATTATTGCATGTAGATGATCTAATGCTTCTTCGAATTATAAATATTCTCAAATCCGCCTTGCAGGTTATATTCCAGTTCATGGTTCGGCATTCTCCTCTAAAGATGGATGATTTACTAGCATCTATTAACTCCCCAGATGATCAAGAAAAGATACCAAGTGACATAGAAATGGTTGGTTGACTATATCTAATACAATTATTCGAGGTTCGATATTTGTGTCCTGTGCGTGCTGCTAAGTTTAAGCCCATTGCCGAGTACAATGAAGATGAATTGCATGCATGGTAGCAGGAGATCGGTGTATTTGGCGTAAATCGGGTATGTAATTTCACTTGGCTTGGCCAAGGGTAGTTTTTATGTTGAAGCCACATTGCTCTCTTTTTTTTGTCTTGGAAAATGTTGAGGGAGAGATTATAGCGTACATAACTGCTGTGCCAGTTTAAGCAGCCTTTTGTGCGTGACCAAATATGTATAAACATGTAATTTGGATTTGGTTCGAAAGAAACTAGAATTCGGCTTGATAATTATTAACTTGAGCCATCATGCACATTGAATTCAAATAATCTATTGGTTGTGTCACGGACTGTCAGCCCATGATCGAGCCAAATGCGATCAAGGCTGCCAAGAACTTTGTTATGTTTTGGGCTTTCTAGATCTTTTCGAAGATCTAGGGAAGCTGGCCCATTCATCTTAGATAAAATGATATGGCATCACAATAATTCTTAATTATCTTATAAATAAATCTCACAATTATCTCTTATTTAAATTCTAGATCATGATAGAATTTAGCTTTGCATCTCTCACCTTAACTGTTGATATAATATATTTGTAGTCTCAGCTTAACTGTTGATACAATATGTTTGTAACCGTTGGATGTAAAGGGCTCCAATTTTTGGTATAATCTATTTGTAACCGTTGGATGTAAGGGGTTTCAACTACAAAAGGAAGTTCATCCCACCTAATTTTCACACATCATTTGAGGAGTATAAATTAGCATTCACATGTATTTTCTCTTTTTTCTTTTGAGCGTCTATTTCTTTGTTTTTGCATTGTTTTAAGGGGGCGTTTAGTTTGGGGAATGTGGGATTCCCATAGGAATAGAATCCACATTCCCCCGTTTAGTTAGCATGGGAATCTCATTCCCGGTAATATAAGATTATCAATAGTAGATTTTTTGGGGTATATTACCGATAATGTCATTACCTCCCTTTCTTAGGTATTGTTGAATTATTAGCGTTTTGGACTCAAATACCCTTAATTTTTTTTTTCAAAAATATCCTTCTTATGTCATTGAATAATAAAAATTCTACGAAGGTTAAATTACAAATTTATCCTTAAATTATTTTAGATTTACAAAAAAAAAATCTATAATTAAAATTTTATATGAAGTTCAGATGTTAAAATAAAATTTTACCCTTTCATTAAGCTTCTTTATATTTTCAATTTTGTAAAAAAATTTATATAAATGTTATGAATTTAATTTTTTTTAAAAAAAATATATAAATCTTTTCCAACTTGTTAAAAAAATATATATAATAAAGACAATTTAGTAAAATATATATAATAAAGACAATTTAGTCAAATATACATTCAAATAATATTTTATTCATTTAACCAAACACGATAATCTTATATTCCTGCTAAACCAACCAAACACAAAATACAACATTCTCAGTAATCCTATACCCTGGTAATCTTACATTCCTACTAATAATCTTACATTCCCACTGATAATCTTACATTCTCACTGATAAGCTTACATTCCGTTAACCAAAATCACCCTAAGTTCTTTTGGCTTAAAGCGTTTGAGTTACTTCGTCGTTTTCTAACCTTGAAAGCGATCAAGTTCGCACTATAACTTGCTAGCAGCCCAACAGTCTAATCTCGTGATAATTAACATGAAATATTTATTGATTTAATAAATTTTTATATAATTATTTATTTAATTTTCACTACTTTTTTCAAATAAGGTTTAATTGATACAATTTAATTAGTTAAATAATTTAATTTTTAAAATTAAAAAATCAATAATCATATTAAAATATCTTATAATTAATTGAATACGATTGTAATATACTTTAAAATAAATTATGCAAAATAAACTTGATAAATTTAAATATCAAAAGCTGAAACATTTCTTCTATGTACATAAATGAAAGCATCCCAAACATTAAAAACCGAGAAAGGAAAAATGAATTTCTTTTACTCATAACAAATTTGCATTTACGATTTCATAGTTTTACCATTTGTAATTAAATAACTAACTCATCCGATTCCACAACCTCTTCCATTTCCCCGCGAACACGGATATCATTACCGCCTTCTTCCAACCATCGTTCGATCGGTGCACATTCTACCTTATGTCTCAGCTTCCAATCGAGTGCTTGGCAACCACGCGAGCAATAATTCACCGTGCCACAAACTGAGCACCTCCTGAACTCATGAGCCCTTGTCTCGGGTCTCCCGCACCCTTCGTGGGAACAAAGTCTTAGCCCCTGTGCTAATTCGCCCACTTCTGACTCGAACCATTCTTTTAAGAACGAGTTCACCGGGTGAACCTCTGGTGCAGGTACATTGCACCCGAAATCACTTAACGGACAACTTGAACCCATTTTTAAATTGTAATATTGATAGTTTAAACGACGATGGTGTTGTTGTTGGGTTTTTCGTTGGACTAAGGTGTTTAACGACGACGCGAGTTCTCGTGCGTTAGCTTGGACGAGTAGCCGGCGTCCTTCAATTACATGTTGGCGCACGCCGTAACCGTCTTGTAAGCAATGGCCGAGTTCACGCAGCGCGTCCACATGACCGAGGAAAGCTGCTCGCGCGCATAAGGCTACTCCGGCCCGGAGGTCCTTCTCGTTTTTTGAACCACCGCTCCCGTTAAATTGTATTATTGCGAGCGAGTATAGAGCTGGCGCGTGGGATTTGATTGCTGCTTTCGCCATTAAAGACACTCCACCTCCTCTGTTTTCCAGGCAGTAGAATCGGAACTGTAAAAGCAGCAAATTATGTTAATTACTAATAAATTTTACTTTTAAAAATACAAATAAAAAAGAAATCCATAGGAAGCACTGACCATGCCCAGAGTATAACAAGCTTCAACGTTGCCGGCTTTAACGCACTGTTTGAGAAGACGATGAACCGAATCGCACCAATTTCGAGCTTTAACGGCAAAAACTTTAGAGCAGACTTTTGATAAAACCAGAGGATGAACAGCCAAATTGTTTAATCTCTTGCATCTATCAAAATATAAAATTCAAAATCTCCATTATTGTTACTCCAAACAGCACTAAAAAAATTAAAATAAAAAGCAAAACAAAATTCAATCATACGTTAAGAGAATGTTGATGAAATCAGGAGGAGAAGAGGCTGAAGAAGCTAGCTTGGAAAGGATGGAGATAACGAGATCATCGGGTAATCCATCAAATAGATCCGATTTCTCGTAACATTTACGAGAAGTTCTTTTCTTTTTCGTCTGCGACATAACACTTTTTTCTCAAAGAGAGGACACAAAGAATCAGAGAAAAAAATTTGCAGCTCAACTTCGGATTAACCTTCCCATCTTCCTTGTACTACTTTTATACCAAATCCGTGTTTGCTTGCTTTTCTTTTCATCTAACTGTTCTTCGAGATGAAAGCAAAATTCCAAACGACGGTGTGTATATATAGTCATTGAGAGTTGAAGAAGGCAAAGGTAAATATTTAGTGCAAACAACTTGTTTCGATTTGGACCCACGGAATTTAACTTAAATAAATTTCACTTTCCAAGTTTAACGTTTGCTTGTGAGTTGTAATTAGATCCGGTACTATTATAAACTAATATAATTATTTTAAAAAATATATGGAGTATATAATTAGTGTGAAATATACCGATATGTTTATTTTTTTATGATTACGTGTTTTAATCAGACTGTATAGATAAAGGGATTGAAATTTTATGATTTAAAAAGTTTAGTGTTTAAGTTTATAATTTAATATTTGTAGTCTATAATCTAATTTTAGGGTTAAAGTTTAGAGCTTGGATTTATTATTAAAATACACAAATTGTGTAAATAAATTCTAATCAATTATAGGAGTGATTATTTTTATGTTTGATCTGTCTTATTTTGATAATTTATTTTTAAAATACAATGATTCGATCATTTATATTATTAATATATCTTATTTTGATCACGAAATTGTTAACTCCTCTTAATTTAGTGACAAGGCATATTAACAATGGATTATAATTTCATATTTGATCCTTAAACATTTAAGAGTTTATTTTTCACGCTTTGTAGAAAACCTAGAAACCCTCTCTCTCAATTATCTTCTCTAACCTTGACAATAGGATTGTTATTGTTGTCGTCTTCGACCATTATTTGTGTTGTTCCAATGATGAAGAACTCCGAAGAGCTTGGGAGTTATCTCGATACCCTCAACTCCAATTGGTAACTCGTCAAGTGCACCAGCAACTATCATACATGTTGAACTATATTTTGATATAACAATTAGGAAAAAATGTTTTTGGACTTGAATTGAATTTATTCAAAGTTTTTCAAAGTTTTCAAAAATAATTCAAAGTCCTTAAAACTTGGAATTGAGCACAAAATAATTTTTTGGACAAGTAGTACCGATACTGTTTTTATAGTATCGATACCAATTGAACAAGTATCGATACTGTTCATATGGTATCTATACTAAAGGTAAGGGAAGTATCGATACTCACTAGGTAGTATCGATACTCACTAGGTAGTATCGATACTCACTAGGTAGTATCGATACTCACTAGGTAGTATCGATACTACCAGCTTTGCTCAAATTCCAGAATGCAAAAATGGTACCGATACCCAAAGGAGTACCGATACTAATATGTATAGTAGTACTGATACCATTACCATAGTATCGATACCATCAGGCCCCAATGGCTAGTAACGACCAGTTGGATTTAAATATAACAAAGGTAGTACCAATACTCCCTTTAGGAGTATCGATACCCCTTGGTCTGGGCAACTTTATTTTACACGAAAATTGATCCCCCAACGGCTCTAAACAACCTCCAACGGCTAGAAACGGCTACAACAACATTCCAACACATAAATACACGTTCAAGACACTTGAAGAAGAGTTAGAACACCTATCCAAGCAATAAAACACAAGATAAAAGTTTTTCATTCTTATTTTCAATTATCTTGTAAATATTTATGTTTTTGTGAGCTTTTAATTTGTAAACACCTTCATTTCTAGAGGTTTATTTGTTTACACTCTTTTTCCTTTGTAAAGGTTTTCGGTTCTATCTTAGCCGTTGAAAAGATGGGGAGTTGTAAAGGTTGTCTCTTTGTCATTGAAAAATAAAGAACAAATTATTGAATTTGTTAGAAAATCCTCAATGAGGAGCTAAGGTAGTAGATGTAGACTTGGTTGATAAGTCGAACCACTTTAAATCCTTGTGCCAAATTGTCTTATATTTTTGTTCTCCTTACTCCCTAAATTCAATTCTATCAAATAAACCCCTTAGCACTTTTTCGGTTGTCAATTGAGTCTCTGCATTTATCTTAATAATTGATATCAGAGCCTAACTCATTTAGAAGGTTTAACCACCTTGAGACGTTCCTAGAAGAAGCTCTACCAATTCCCGACACAACCGAGAAGAAATGGCTTCAACCTCCAGTGCCTACTACATTAAAGATTCACAACCGGTCAACAAGTCACCCTACTTCAATGGAGCAAATTATGCCTATTTAAAAATATGATGATGCTCTTCATTCAAGCAAAGGATCTAGGAGCTTGGAATTCAATCAGTAAAGGGTACACCACTCCAACCGACGAGATGGACGATTGGAGTGATGGAGAGAAGAAGAAGTTTCAGCTCAATGCTAAGGCTATGCACATCCTCTTTTGTGCATTAGGCCTAGATGAATACGGAAGAGTCTCCTCTTGTTCCAATGCCAATGAGATATGGGATAAGCTCCAAGTCACTCATGAGGGAACCGATGAAGTGAGGGAAACCAAGATAAGTCTTCTCAACCATAGCTACGAAAATTTCAAGATGAAACCCGATGAAGACATCAAAGCTATGACGAATAGATTTTCCTTGATTGTCAACGGTCCCAAAGGATTTGGAGAAGTTATCTCTAATGAGAAGTTAGTGAGGAAGATGATCTACTCTCTTCCAAAGTCTTGGCAATCGAAGAAGACGACGATTATCGAAGCTAGAGACCTAAAGGCTCTAACTCTCGACAAGTTAATTGTTTCTCTACTCACCCATGAAATGATGGTGAAGGAAGAGGAAGAAGATAAAGAGAAGAAAAACAAGAAGAAGAAAGAGGTAGGCATTGCCTTCAAGTCCACCAATGAGAGCTATGAAGATTCAAGTGAAGAGGTGGATGAGGACGACGATGAAGAAGAAGAGATGGCCAAGCTCTTCAAAAAGTTCAAGAGGTTCATGTCTTCCAAGGAAGTAAATCATGAATCAACCTAGAAGAAGGGTTCCCCGGTGTGCTTCAATTGTCAAAGAAATGGGCATGTCAAGTATGAATGCCCTCTCCTAAAGAAAAAGGGATCATCAAAGAAGAAGGCATTTGTGGCAGCTTGGAGTGATGAAGATGACTCCAATGATGATGAAGAAGTAGCCAACCTATGCCTCATGGCCACTCATGAAGAGCCCGAGGTATCTTCTAACTCAAATGATTTAAATTCACATTCTTTTGATGAGTTACAAGATGTTTATAATGAGCTGTATTTGGAATTTGAGACAATGAATTCCAAATATAAGAAATTAATTTCAAATTTTAAAGTTGAAAATAATTTGATTTTGAAAGCCAAAGTTGATTTTGAAAATCAAAATGAAATTTTGAAAAATGATTTAGAGCTTTCAAAAATTAAAATCAATGATTTAGAAAAAGAAAATTTTGATTTGAAAGTTAAGCTTGAGAGATTAACAAAAGAAAAACAATTAATTTCTAAAAACAACTCATTATGTTTGAAAATGAAAAAATGCTCACAGTGCCATTTTTATGGTCATATGAAACATACTTGGCCTTTGAAGAAAGGAAAATGTTTTAAAATTAGACAAGTATGAGTTCATAAGGGAACAAGGGGCATTGAAACTAACGTTCAAGGATCCAAAGCAATTTGGATACACAATCTACTTAAATGTCTCTTGTAGGTGTGTGGGAGCAATGTTGATGAAAATGAAGAAATCAAGATGCTCTAGCCACACTAAAAAAGGAATGGGTAACCTCTAAGCTTAATGCTTTTGATTTTGATTATTTGGTTGCTCATTTTGATTTAAGCATGCATGAGTTTTGATTTTAATAATTTGATGTTTTTCATCTCATTTATGTTAAAAAGATGTTATGATGAACATTTTAAAGTTTTAATGATTTTTTCATAATTTTTTTGGTTCATCATAATGAATTTTGGTCAAAATTGATTTTAATGCAAATGATGTATCTCTAACAATTGATATCAACTTTTCAAATGCTTTGATTTTACAAATTTTAAAAATTTTGACCCAAAATTAAATGTTTATGCATGTGTTTTAAAATGTTAAAGATATATCTCTAACAATTGATATCAAGTTCTTCAAATGCATAACATTTTTGAAAAGCGTTATGCATATGTACTTAATTTCAACTATTGGTATTGCATAAAGTATTTTAGACTTTGATATATTGAATTTCATGAGCTACTAACATTTTTTTACAATTTGCTGAAATTCAATTTTGTTTAAGTGTCAAGATTTTAAAGTTAAATTTTGTTTGGAATGCACTTTTTGAGGGGGAGCTTTGATTTTTCAAATGTTATTTTAATGTAAAAATTACCACTTACTCTCCAATGTTATGTTTGATCTTTAAAGTTGAATTCTTTTTTATTTAACAAAAAAGGGGAGAATATTGGTTTGAAAAATTCAATTTCTTGATGAAAAAGGGGGAGCTGAATATTTTCACATATTTTCCAACAATTGGTATCTTTTTCATTAAACATTTTAGTAAGGGGGAGTTTTGCAAAAAAAAAAACAATTTTTCAAATGTTTTGTTATATCAAAAAGAGGGAGATTGTTGAACTATATTTTGATATAATAATTAGGGCAAAATGTTTTTGGACTTGAATTGAATTTATTCAAAGTTTTTCAAAGTTTTCAAAAATAATTTAAAGTCCTTAAAACTTGGAATTTAGCACAAAACAATTTTCTGGACAAGTAGTACCGATACTGTTTTTACAGTATCGATACCAAATTGAACAAGTACTGATATGAAAGGTAAGGGAAGTATCGATACTCACTAGGTAATATCAATACTACCAGCTTTGTTCAAATTCCAGAATGCAAAAATGGTACCGATACTCAAAGGAGTACCGATACTACTATGTATAGTAGTACCGATACCATTGCCATAATATCGATACCATCAGGCCCCAACGGCTAGTTGGATTTAAATATAACAAAGGTAGTACCGATAGACCTTTTTGGAGTATCGATACCCCTTGGTCTGGGCAACTTTATTTTGCACGAAAATTGATCCCCAACAGC